AAGATGTGAGGCATGTTCCCGACATTCGCCTCAATTTGATCTCTACTGGGAAACTAAATGATGAAGGTTTCAACAACAAATTTGGTGATGGAATATGGAAGCTCACAAAGGGTTCTTTAGTGGTGGTTAAGTGCAAGAAGACTCATACACTTTATTCAATGCAAAGAAAAATTTGTAAAGGTGTTGTCAATGCACTTCAAGATGATACTTCTACCGAATTGTGGCACAAGCGGCTTGGCCATATGAGTGAAAAGGGGCTACAAGTTTTGTTCAAAACAGAGCTTCTACATGGTTTGAAAGGTACACATCTTAAAACTTGTGTTCATTGTTTGGCGGGTAAACAACATAGAGTTTCTTTTTCGAAAAATATTACTTCTAGAAAAGAAAATGTTTTGGAGTTGATTCATTCGGATGTTTGTGGTCCTTTGAAAGTTAGAACACATAGTGGTGCACTTTATTTTGTTACTTTCATTGATGATTATTCAAGGAAAGTTTGGACTTTTTACTAAAAACTAAAGATCAAGTTCTAGAAGTATTTAAGCATTTTCAGGCCATGGTTGAAAGAGAAACATGGCAGAAATTGAAGTGCATCCGATCAGACAATGGTAGTGAATACATTGGGCCATTTGATGAGTATTGTCACAGCCAAGGTATTTGACACCAAAAGACAGTTAAGAAGACTCCTCAACAAAATGGCATTGCCGAGAGGATGAACCGCACCATTGTGGAATGAACAAGTTGTTTTCTTTCATAAGCTAAATTGCCAAGATCTTTTTGAGGTAAGGCAATGAAGACAATGGTTGATGTGATCAATTTGTTTCCTTCCTATCCTTTGAATAGTGATGTTACAGAAAGAGTTTGAACCGACAAAGATGTGTCTTATGAGCACTTGAGAGTGTTTGGTTGCCGAGCTTTTGTTTACATTCCAAAGGATGAGAGGTCCAAGCTTGATAGTAAGTCAAGACAATGCATTTTTCTGTGCTATGGGCGTGATGAATTCGGGTATAGATTGTGGGATTCGGTCAACAAGAAAGTCATTCGAAGCCGTGATGTTGTGTTTCTTGAAGACCAAACAATTGAAGACTTTGGCAAAGGTGATCAACTGGAGCAAAAAAGTAGTGATCTCATTGATATGGATCCAGCTCCTTTATCTTTAGTTGATGATGAAAATGGGGGAGACGTGCAGCCACCTATTGAAGATGTGGAGGATGATGCCAATCCTAATGAAGTTGAGCCAGAAATTGAGGAAGAGCATCCAACTCAAGAACCGCCACCACAACTTGAGTTGAGGAAATCTACAAGGGACCGACAACCTTCAAGAAAGTATCCTCCCAATGAATTTATGTTGATTTCCGATCAAGGGGAGCCCAAGAGCTACCAAGAAGCAATTGAGTATGCAAACAAAGGTGAAAAGGTGATTGGAAAAAGGCCATGAACGAGGAAATGAATTCCTTGTTTGAAAACCAAGCTTATGATTTAGTGAAATTACCTAAAGGGAGGAAAATTCTGAAAAATAAGTGGGTCTTCAACTTGAAGAATGATGGCAAGAATCTGAGATACAAGACACGTCATGTTGTGAAAGGCCTTGGGCAAAAGAAAGGCATTGACTTTGATGAGATTTTCTTGCCGGTTGTGAGGATGTCTTCTATTCGGGTTGTACTTGGCATAGCTGTAAGTATGAACCTTGAAGTTGAGCAACTTGATGTAAAGACTGCATTTCTTCATGGTGATCTTGAAGAAGAAATTTACATGGAGCAACCGGAAGGTTTTGTAGAGAAAGCGAAAGAGAAATTTGTTTGCAAATTGAAGAAAAGTTTGTATGGCATCAAACAAGCCCCGTGGCAATGGTACAAAAAAATTTGACTCTTTCATGATGAATAATGGTTTTTCTAAAACCACTTCGGACCATTGTGTGTTTGTGAAAAATTTCCCGGATGGTAAATTTATTATTCTTTTGCTTTATGTTAATGACATGTTAATTGTGGGTCAAGATTCTACTATGATTAACAGGTTGACAAATTGGAGTTGAGCAAGTCTTTTACTATGAAAGACTTGGGACTGGCAAAGCAAATACTTGGTATGAAAATTGTTCGTGATCGTAAAGAGGGGCTGATTTGGTTTTCTCAAGAAAGCTACATTGAGAAAGTTCTTGAGAGGTTCAACATGGATAAAGCAAAGCCAGTTGGTTGTCCACTTGCGGGTCACTTCAAGCTTAGTTCGAATCAATGTCCTACAAGTGAGAAAGACAAGGAAGAGATGCAAAAATTCCTTATGCTTTAGCAGTTGGTTCTTTGATGTACGCCATGGTTTGTACAAGCCGGATATTGCTCACGCCGTTGGTGTAGTGAGTCGTTTTCTCTCTAATCCGGGTAAAGAACATTGGGCAGCGGTAAAATGGATTTTAAGGTATCTTCGAGGGACTTCGAAGGTGTGTTTGTGTTTTGGGGATGATAAGCCGATGCTTGATGGGTTTCACGGATTCTGACATGGCCAGTGATGTTGATTCTAGGAAATCTACTTCGGGGTATTTGATGACTTTTGCAGGGGGAGCTGTGGCATGGCAATCTAAATTACAAAAATGTGTATGCTTTCTCAACTACCGGAGCTGAATTTATTGCCATTACGGAAGCTTGTAAAGAAGAGTTATGGTTGAAGAAATTTTTGCAAGAGTTGGGTTTGAAGCAAGAAAAGTATGTGCTTTATTGTGATAGTCAAAGTGCTATTCACTTGAGTAAAAATTCTACTTTTCATTCGAGATCGAAACACATTGATGTGTGATACCATTGGATTCGTGATGTGTTAGATTCGAAATTGTTGCAACTCGAAAAGGTTCACACAGATAATAATATTTCGGATATGTTGATTAAGACTTTGTCGAGGGACAAACATTTCAAGTATCGAACTTTGGTGGGTATGGTTGATCTCTCCACCTAAGTCGAGAGAGAGAATTGTTGGGATATATCTTCTTATTGGAGTATGGGACCCAATGGTTTATTAAAAGAGTTTATTTTGATTTGGTATTAATTATAATATATTTAATATATTATATTTAATTTGTGGAGACCCATTCCAATTTGGTAACAACTAGGGTTTTAATAAAACAAACCCAAGTGTTAACAATATATATATATATAAATATTGTTTTGTCTCTTTTCCGTAGATCTAGCGGCAACAGAATAATTTTTGGTCAGTGAGATAATGCTTGAGTTGATCAATCTACTTGGTGGCATTTAAGTTTGGTGGAGTGATTTGTTTGAGCTTCAAAAATTACTCCGTTCGTGGCTGGTTTGAATTCGGCTGATTTGGGTTGTTAGTTTGGGTCTTCTACAACTTTGTTTCGAAGATTTTGGTTCATCTATTTTGGTGAGGTCTTTCCTCTTTGTTTATTTGTGGTTATTTGAAATTCACCTAAGGATAGTTTTGTGAGAACATTCGTGTCTCGTTTGTAATCATTTGAAAATTTATTTGGTTGATAGTGGAATCGGATTTCGATCCTTTGGACGTACCATACATTGAAGGAACCACGCAAAATTCTCGTGATACTTTTAATTTAATTTGTCCGCATTAATTTTTATTCTTATTGATTAATTTACTTATAGAAAATCACATATTTTCCCTACCACTATGGATATAGAACAATCAGGAATGATAATTCTTCTCAAGCCTGACACTTAGGAAAGATAAGGACCACTTTTAAAAGTACAAGCCAACTCCTCATCAGAGGCTTCATCAATGTACTCTAGGACCCTTCTCATTTGAGAGGGATTTTCAACACAACCACCGTTGCTTTTGAGTATGGCATGCATATTTTAGTCTTTACGATGGCATGGTTGCATGCTAATGCTTCCAACGCAACTGATGTTTCTATGGACGAAGCATCAGTAGAAGCCTGCTCGTGTATCCTCTCTTCTCAACCTGTTGTCATCCTCTCGCCGAACTTGCCTTTTAGGGCTATCATATGGACACCGGCATTCTGTTTTACAACCTGCTGGTAAGGTTGGGCCAAGTTAGATTTCCACCCTTGTTAGGGCACGAAAGCCTTTGTTATCAGAGTTGAGTGATCAATACTATCTTCCACCACTTACATCATTTCTAAGGTTTAAAAGCTAAAGCGAGATAGAAAATATTATTCTGTAATCATAGAAAGTTAACCTCTCGCTCAATCTTAACCTAACTAACTAATCCCACTAAAATCTTTCCTTCAACCTTAAAAAAAATAAAATAAAAAGGATAAATTATGTTTCAATGGTAAGCTTTATGAATATTAATAATTCAAATCACAAGATTTTCAATTATTTGTAATTATTTTTTTAAATGCACTAAATTGTAATTCCCCCTTAGAAAATGACCTTTTTTTATTTTATTTTATATATATATATATATATATATATATTTTTCAATAGATTTTAGTGGGGGTCAAATTGTACAAAAGCCCAATATTAGGAAAAATTTCCTATAAAATTAGAAAAATAGCCCATTTGATAACATTGATATTTATAGTTTTCTATTTATATTTATAAAAAAATTAAAAATTATAAAACAAAAATTAATTTGATCTCCATTTTCATTTCTAAAAATACAGTTTATAAATTTTTTTAAATTCTAATAAACAAAACTAAGAAGTCATTTTTACATGTTTTGAAAACAATTTTTTATTCCTTCCTCGTTCACCTGCTGCCTCTGGCCAACACCCATCGTGCTGCCGATCACCACTTCCACTACCACCGCTGACCTCTACATTAGGCAAGCCCCCACACCTTCAGCCACCATTCTTAACCGTCGGCCACTACCTCCCAAAAGTCCCCACCTTTGACCACCACTCCAGCCAACAATCTCCAGCTACCGCATTTCACTTGTTTCAAAACAAAACTTTAAAATACACAATTCCCATCGACAATCTCCTCCAGCCCCATCCTTTCCCTTATTTTCAAAACAAAATTTTAAAATATGTACATACTTTCTGTAAATAAACATAAACAATAAATATTACCAAATAGCAGTAAGGCATCAAAGTCTAACAGAATCACATTAATTCTTCAAAAGAGAATAATCAAAGTCCAAACCGGTTCTATCTAAAAGCAACCACAATCTTAACAATGAGAGAAGTATGAGAGAAATAAGCAAATATTACATAGCAAGACTCACCCAATACATTGATTTCAACCTCTCAAAGCAATAAATAGAATAAAAATGGTTAACATGAGTGAAAAATAAAGTAAATTCACAAATCAAATGATATATCACCTATCTTTTAATCTTATTCTTCTCTTAGTCAACCTCTTTTAAATCCAGATTAGCTTATTTTCTTCTATGCTCCTCCTTGATCCGAAATAATTAACCAGCGATGGAGCCGACTTCCACTCTTGGTGGACCCGAGTGCCGCCTTGGCCTAGCCGGTGAAGCTGGGAAAGACAGCCGTTTCTTCACTGACCCTGCCGAGTACTCCTTCTCCAGTGTCTCATTCTCCAAACCCAATGGGCTTTGCATTCGTGATTTTGCTTTCGCTGACTTTGTCGATGCCATGTAGCTTGGAACTGACGGAGAGCCGGCCAGGCTCTCGTCATCCCTGACTGATGACCCAGCAATACTGTGCCTCCTATTCCTCTCCGACTGCACGCTAAACACACTCTTCGCATCGTCATCTGGGCTGAACATGCTCCCTCGTGGGCTTGCTGGCTTTATTTTCCTGGATACTGTTGAAGATGCTGCCTTTGATGGGGGCGTTGAAGGACGACTTGGCTTTTGGCTTGAGGTCGGGGAAGGTTTGCCAGAGTTGAGTAGATGACGAGTGTAGGCCTTCGTGATTTCTCCGCCAGTTGTGTTGAGGCTAGCACTCTTTATGGATGACTTGTCATTGTTGAGTTCTTTGCCAGTTGTAGTTCGGGGCTCCCATGAACGGGCTGCCATCCATCGTTCTAGCCAACTCCAACCCCATTGAGGATTGTTCGGGTCCATGAACATTAAAGATGTGGGTCTTGTACACTTCTTCCAGTTTTGCTGCTTATTTCAAATTCGGAAAACTCAATTAATGGCTGAAATTCTTCAAACTAGATAAAAGGTGAATATTCATCTATAATATACAATGAAATGATGTGCTCAAACAATGATTTCTGCTCCAAAGACATAAAGTATATATCAGAAAATTTTCACGATAATTCCCATATTAAATAGATCGTTGGCAGATCAATATATTTTCTACTTGATTGACAGACATTCTCACTTAGGTTTGCTTCAAAATAGCTCATTTAGACACAATGGCAAACTAAATTCACAAGTTGTCTAAATATTCTAATTCATTTATCATGTCGATAACCTGCAAAATTAAGAAGAATAAGAAGAAAACAAAGTAGGCTCTTGAGTTCAGACATACTCTTTTTACAGGAAATTGTGCTAAGAGAACTGGTAACTTGAGAATTTGTGAAAACATCTACACACTCCAACACAACCTTGAATCTCACAAACTTCGAAGAAAAGTTATTGGACATAAAAATGTTGGATAGCTTGACATAAAACTGTTGGGCTCATATCTGAACAGCTTAAGCTTTTGAGACAATTTGATAACTTGGCAGAAAACTGTTCTCATAGTTTCAGCTGTTAGTTACTTAAGATGAAGCTATTAAGCAATTTTAAAGGACAACAAGAACAGCCAATATTTGCAATGTTTCATCTATGTTTGTATTATGATGTTTTAAATTCTTGCAAATGAGAATTCTTCATCAAATACACTTACCAAATTTCTCACATAATATTTCTTTCTTTTTGGGTAATATTTTGAATTCTTAATGACTATACGTCTCTTTCAACAAATTTTGAATATCATTGGAACTGTTGATTGACTCTTGAATAATTGGCAACTTAATAGTAAGACCTACAAAATTCAAGATCTCAAGAACATTTAAGGTTTTAGATTTATGGTTCAATGTTTTAGAAATTTTAGAGTTGATAATTTCAAGATGCAGATTCTGGGATTTGAGTTGAAGTTTCAGTTTGATGAATTCACTTTCACCACCCAACACCTAATTGCCCAACGGCCTCGTCATTTACTACCATATTCTTCTCTTCCCGGTCATGGACCACCTCCTTAGTGCGAAAAATTGAATTTTATGTGCTGTCCTTGACAGCTGCTGGGTGGTAATATCTCACCAATATAGCGATTCTCAAAATTTTTTTAGGGCAAGTAACCCTGTATGTTAGTTATGTAACAATTGATCTTCTCATTTAATTTAAGTTATAGGCCTCAAAATAAATTTAAGATTTATCAAAAGTCAAAGCTTATGAAGTTAAATTCTGTAATACAATATTAAATAAAATCGAAGCTTAATAATTTTCTCTATAGATGATTGAGTTCAGCACAACCTTATGATTTTGCAATCATTGCCCTTATAATTAAATTAACCAAACCAACTTAAATTACAAGAGATGAAATAGACTTCAAAATTTAGCCTAGGGATGACAATTATATATTGCTGTAATTAGAGATATACACAATGGAGTTGTAACTAATTTCAGAATAGTAAGGGAAAAAACATGCGAGTTTCCGACAATAATATGTTTACATCAATGATCAACACTAAGTCCTTGACCTTCAACATTCAAGAGGATATCCTATGGTGTATGTAATTTACAGATGATATATTCTACTTGGAAATACAAGAGTAGTAAACTTTAAGATAGAATTATGGAGAGATACTTTAGAATCTAAAAGTTAAAGTTAAATCAGAGCAAGATAGAATATATAGAATGCAACCTCAGTAATTCTAGAAATATGGATGAATATAGAGTAAAACTTGGAGATACCTAAGAGTGACATTTTTTATATCATGGGGTTATTCATAAAGACTGAGAGCTTGAGGATGACGCGATCGATACAATTAGTGCGAGATGGATGAAATGGAGGAATGCATCATGAGTGCTATGTGATAGGAAGATTCCTAAGTTAAAGATAAATTTTTTTATAGAAAAATGAATGTAACTGAAATGAATGTTAAAATAGGTAAGCAGTGGGTCTTGGGTATAACTCAACCCTAAAAGCTAGCTATTAAGGTGAGGGCACCGTCACACTTATATACTTGACATTATTTTCATACCCAGGCAAGACTTTTCTTCACACCCTCCCTCACCCATAGCATGCTCACTCGGCAACACCTGCCCTATGTGGGACACACACACCATAATGCATGGTCTTGAGTAAAACTCAATCACAAAAGCTAGCTATATAAGGATGCAATCATGCTTATATACTTCATATTACTTTCATACCCAGGTGATATGGAGCTGTGCACAGAAGTTAGAAGTGGCACCAATTGAAGATAGGATGAACGAAAACCATTTGAGATGGTATAGTCATGTGCATCATAGACCAATTAACCCTCTTGTAGGGAAGAGTGATTTGGTCCACATGGAGGGTGGTAAAAGAAATAGAGAAAGGCCTACGAGAACTCAAGTAGAATAACTTCTTAAACTTAACTGATGATATGATTGCAAATAAAACCAATTAGAGGGAATTGATCCAAGTAATTGGAACAAATACTGGCCGAGTTGATAATATTAATTCAAGACGTTTATTTACCAAAAAATAATAATAAAAAATGTAAAGGATTTAAAAATGACAATAATAAGAAGAAGAAAAAAAAGGACTCCAAATTATCTAAATTGAAAAAATCCAATAGAAAAATAAGCAAATTGCCTTGTGGTGGTGGTAGTTTAGAAGGCAGAATTCCTAAGGAATTTTAAGGTAAGAAAATAAGTGAAAACAAGGATGTTGAAGATATATGAATTACAAAAGACTACAAACAGTAGATGTGGGAAGATCCTAGAGAATAAAAACGATCTTTCTTTTGCAATTAAACTAAATTTATATAAAAATGTTAATAACGTGTCAACCTTCCAATCTAAGGTTCTCTTACCAGTCGAACCAAAGCCTGCTGGCAAAACATGGCTTGTCTACATCTCTTATGGATGCACAAATGATCAGCAATGGAGAGTAGAGATAAGTAAAAAAAAAAACCTAGGGCATGGACATTGTCTTCATTTAGCTAGCAGCAAAAAGTTCGGGCACCCCAAAGTCAAGCCCACTTGCCGCAGTTGACTTGTCTATCTATACTATTATATAAGTGTACAACTAAGTTGGTGTGAACACTTGTCAACACTTTGTCATGTTTTTTTGGTTTTCTATAATTGCCCACCACAATTGATGACCCCAACCCTAGTCTTAAAATCACCACATCTTTATTTAATAGTCAGAACTATCTCGCGTGATCATAGCGTTTGACTATGTTTTTGAAGAGCAGAGGGAAGATGGGACACGTGGATGGCAGGATACAGGCACCCAACACAACTGACCCAGGTTATGACTAACGAGAGATTACCGATTCTTTGATTATGGGTTGGCTTATTCATTCGATGGTACCAGACATTGGTGAGGGCTACTTGTCTATGGAGACTGCCTAAGATGTTTGGGATGTTGTGGCTACCACCTATTCCCACAAAGGGAATTTCTCACAAGTATTTGAGTTACGTTGCTCTATTGAGAGCTCTGTTCAGGGGAGCAGGTGGTTCTTCAGTACTTCACCTTCCTCACCAACGGCTGGAAACACCTTGATCACCTGTAGAACTATAAGCCTGCTTGCATTGCTGATTTAGTCGGGTACAGAAAGTTCATTGCACAGGAAAGGGTCTTCAAGTTTCTGGCAAGGCTCAATGTGGAGTATGATCCAGTTCGAAGTCAGGTTCTGAGTATGGACACTCTTCCTTTACTTCAGGAGGCATTTGCCTATGTACAGAATGAGGAGGGTTGTCGGTCTGCTATGATGTCCTCTGTCTCTACTGATCGCTACGCATTACTGTCTACTCCTAGAGATGGCCTTAGCCTGACTCCTATCCCTCCGTCTGCCGCCAAGGAATCTGTATTCTATGATTACTGTAAAAAACCACGGCATACTCGTGAGACATGTTAGAAGCTTCATGGGACTCCATCCGAGAGTCGAGGTGATTGGTTTGGTTTTAGAGGAGGTCGGTCAGGCCAGTCTAGAGGACGGGGTTCTCATCCACAGTGCTCATTAATCTAGTACCATTGATACACTTGATTCTACTTCCGCTTCCGTTGGCCAGCCTTCTGATGGTCTTTCTAGTATGACTACTCTTGAACTTGAGGACATTCTGTGTCACTTGCTGGACCGTCAATCTTCTACTACTCTCAGTACATCTTCCTCTTCGTTTGCCTGCTCAGGTAACTTAACCTCTTCTCCTTGTGTTTTCCTGACTCATAAGTCTTTGCCCTGGATTATTGATTCTGGTGCCTCAGATAACATGTTTGGCTCCTCTGATCTTTTCTCTGCCTATAAGCCCTCTTCAGGTCAGGACAAAGTTAGAATTGCAGATAGTACTGTTTTTTCCATTTCTAAAAAAATGTTTAGTCCATGTCACTCCTATCATACCTCTATCTTCTGTTCTCCCTATTCTCAATTTTTCTGTCAACCTGTTATCCTTGAGTCGTATTACACAAAATTTGAATTGTAATGTGATGTTTTTTTCCTGATCATTGTCCTTTTCAGAACCTTGTCATGAGAAGGACAATTGACAGTATTAGTGCAGAAAATAGTCTCTACTTCCTGGATCAACTGGAAGCGCTTGCTTATTCTTCCACCACGAGTCCTACTACCCAAGATTATGGCTGTGGTATCGGCGTCTTGGACATCCTTCTTTTTATTTACTTAAGCATTTATTTCCATCTGGTTTTGCAAACAATAATGTGTTTGAGTTTCTTTATGGGTCTTGTTAACTTGAAAAACAACACAGAGCTTCTCTTGCTCCCAGTTTTAATAAAAGTTTAATTCCTTTTTCATTAATACATTCTGATGTCTGGGTCCATCTCGTGTTATGTCTGTGAAAGGTCATTGATGGTTTGTTACATTTATTGATGATTTTTCTCATACTACTTGGGTGTATCTCAATAAAGACAAGAATGATGTTTTCTTTGTGCTCCGCAATTTTCATAA